TTAAGATTTAAAATTGGAATCATAATACTTTTATCCCAAAGCTAACTTATCCTAAAATACTTTTCCTAAATAGGCAAAATAATCAATCAAGATAGATATCTTTTAGAAGGCTGTTCAGCATGGTTTAGCTTTACTTCTTATAACTTTTGATTCTTGGCTTGTGTAGGCCTTCATTAAAGATCTCAATAACAGTGTATGGACCAACCAAAAGAAAATGGTATGCCAGGTTCTGAGTTAATATACAAAATATTTAAAGCCAAACTCACAATCCTTTTAATCTAAACACAAAAGCAAACATTTTAAATATTATTTTAAAAATAGTGATGGAGTTGTGTTTATTTTTCTTTTTGGGCTGGAGATAGTTCCAGAAACAGAAGGGTTCTAGGCTATATAGGACTCATCTGTAGTGTGTCAACCTAATGGATCCTGACAGCAGGCCTGCAATCAAAACTTCATAGACCACTCTTAAAATCCACATGAGTGCAATTTTTTGAATAATCTACTCTTAAGTATTTAAAACATTAAACTGTCTGAAAATGAATTAATACAAATGGTACTATACTAGTGTTACTGGCTTCAAAAGCTAAATTACTATAGCTATTCTAGTGACTTCAACTGAGAGCCTTTTAAAGACTTCCACATCGAAGGCATTAAGCAGTTCAATCTGACTTTCAATCAGAGCATGTAAATGACTAAAGCATAATTTGTTTTAGATAGAACCTTAACTATGAGACACTTAAATCGGGAAGGAAAAAAAATCTAACCACTGGCTTCACTTCTGATGCCACAGCTAACTTTGACTCTAGTAAAAGCATCAAATTGAGAAGGATTTTATAGAAAACCCAGATCACTTTATGTATTGTTAAAAATGTCTTTTCAGAAACTAAATAGTGTTTTGGAAGCTTAACTGAGGAAAATTTCCACTTTGTTTTTTTACTTGGGAAGGTTGGATTTCACTCAGAACTTACCCTGAATGGAGTGAGAAAAACCATTCCTTTCTTAGTGCCTTTGAAAATCTCGGGATTGCCAGTTATCTCAGAGAAAGTCAGCTCCACATCTTTACAGTGCTTGAGAATACTTCAAGAAGGAGATACAATATAGATGTATTAATATCTTTAATAAGATTTATTAAAAATGACAATACAAAGTACTATTTTTTTACAAAGTAAATAAAAAGTATTTACTAAGCTCAGTCCAGAAAATGTAGCTCAGATCATCTTGGTATAAACCTCTGTACAACTCAAACACTACAGTTAGCAACACTAGTGAATGTAGTATTCTACCCCCAATATAGCAATATCTATTATTATTATTATTTGCTCTTTGTATTAAGTCTTTTAAGATTTCTTTGCCCTTGCGGTTGATAAATTACAGCCCAGTAGCATTGTATACGTAGCATGTTCAGTTTTGAAGAAAGATGGGCAGGAAGCCTTGCCATCAGGCCACTGTGACCTTTCTGCACTACAGTTTGCCAATAAAGCCATTCACAGTCATATAACGTTTGATTCTTCACAGTAGGCGTAAAGTGGTAATTGGGTCAATGTCTTTTACTACTATTTGTGACTGCTTTGGAATAGTCCATGGACTCTAATGAAGTTGAAAGCCTGTTTGGGGCAATTCTGCCCACCTCTGGCTTAGATCCATGTTCCCTTTGGCTTCTTTAGATGGCTGGGTGGATTGATGAACCCAGATAGGAGTAAGCACCTCATTTGGGGAATAAGTGATGCTCCCTCCTTATTCCCTGGTCCCAATCATATTGAATAACTATTGTCACCAAGCTCCTCTTCCTAATGAAGTTTTCATTTATTTATTCAATTTCTATAGCCATCCAACTCAACCAAGTGACTCTGAGCGACTTTATTTTGGGGAAGAAAGTGGATGTCAAAGCATCTAGTAAAAATGGATTATCTTACACCCTTTCAGTCAGAAATCTAGAAAAAGCCCAAGATGGAAACAGTTTTCATCTGTTTAGTGAATGATCTATGAATGACCTGGATGGAGAATAGATGCCTCCTGGACCACTCAGCAACATTCAATACAATTAATCCTAGTATTCTTCTACACCATCTGCCCAGTTTGGAGTTGAGGGCACTGGTTTACAATAGTTCTGCTCCTTACGTAGTAAGTAATTCCAGTGGTGATAATGAGTCAGGTTGGCCCAGTGGGTGGCCCCTTGTGTGATATCTCAGGGTTTGGTTTTCTCTCCCTAACATGAAACTGCTAAAAGAGGCTATCCATCTGTTTGAAGACAGAATATCATCAGTATGCTACTGAGCTGATCCCTAGTTATACATTTTCATCTTGGGCAGGGCCAACCTGAAGTTCCTGACTCTGAAGGCTGTTAGTCTGGATAACATGGAATAGACTGAAGTTAAATCCCAACAGGAAAGGGATGCTATTCTGTTCTGGTTTTAACTCTAGACAGAATAGCATTCCTCTGAAACAAAAGTTCTACAATTTGGAGTTCTTCCAGGTTTCATGGCTTACAGCTGGAGGGCAGGTGGAAGCCATGGCCAGAGGAGCCTTTACCCTGGTTTGGGTGATGTACCTACTCAGCCCTACATGGAATTGGAAGCCCTAGTGATGGCAACTCATACACTTAATTCCACTAGACTACCATTATATGATGTCCCCAAAACTAACTTTTACAATTCTCAGAACTTGCAATTTATACACTGAGAAAAATGCACAAAATTCTGAATATCTTCATTGAAAAAACAATCATTTCTTACTTAAATTTTATTTTTAAAAAACAGATGGTGACCTATCGCTGCTCAAGAATGTTGACAAGGTTAACTTAGCACTCCAATGATCATTTAGAAATCATGTGATTCTGATTTAACTCATATTGGCTCTACTTCCAGGCCTACTCTCAGTATTGCAGCTCTGCTGTACTATTTTTTTTTTGTATGTTTTCTTCAATAATTGCTTGTCTTTTTATTTCAAAGTAAACCAAAAGAATGATGAATCGAACATGTAAGTTATTTGCTCTCATTTGTTTAATAATTATGACAAAAACAAGGTCATAATTATTCATCTCTTCAATGTATTAGTTGAGTACTATCTTAACATAAATAAATACTTGTTTTCCTGTGAACCAATTACTTCAGTCATGTTTCCTCTTAGGTAACGAGCCTGCCAGAAAAGTAATACAGAAATTTATCTCGGGCCCAGACTTTATTTCCTTTTCCCTATCAATTTCTACTTTTATATGGTGTGATGGAAAGAGAGCTTGTATTCAGTAACGCAGCCTCCTTAACTCTCTACCTCCACGTAAATTGCTCTCCGGATACACCCATTATTCCTAAACTAGACTGAGGAAGGCGGGATTAAATTCGTGCTCAATGAAGCCTACACCGGGAGAGGAAAATGTGTCACAACTACGGCCCACGTCATAAAACAACAACACTACTGTACGCAGATTATTGCCGGATGGGAAGTGGAATTAAAGGCCACGTAGACACTTTGGGGTTACAGGGAAACAAAACAGAACAAAACAAAACAAAACAAGCCACTACCATCTTTGCGCCTCCCCACCAGGAATCAAAATCCCGGGGAGAGCAAGACTGTAGAAGGGGAGGGAGCGACGCAGGTAACACTCCTACGGCCTCTTTAACACTTGGGCAGAAGTCACAATCCCTCTCCGGGGGATGAAAAAGATGCGGGCACTCTCGAGCTTTGGGGCCGAAGAAACCAGGCGGCTTTCCGCGGGGGGGGGTGGCGGTGGGGGGGGGGCGCAAGGTCGTTGTGCTGCGCATTAGAGGCGTCCGTCCCACTGGTCAAGTAGAAATGCCCCACCTGTATTTCGCGATCCCCGAGGCTACACCAGGGCCCCCATTTATCCCCCTGCCGCCCCTTACTAGCCAAGTACATCTTCGCCTCCGGTTACCTTTCCCCGTGGGGCGGGACAACCCCGCCACCGGGCGAGTGGTTCCTGTTCACCGCCATGTTCCCGGCCAATGGCACCGACCGAGGCGGTTCTTCTCTTTCGTCCCTTGCCAAATACGGCAGAGCCGCCCCGTAGCGGCCGTGATCTCCTGGCGCGCAGGCCTGCCTCTCGGTGGAGAGGAGGCGTGGCGGAGGCCGGTCAGCTGTGGAGGAAGACTGTCCCGCGGAAGCCTCGTGGTTACTTGGGAAGACTGCAAAACGCGCGGCGGTGCTGCTACGGTTCTAGTTTATAATCGGCTTAATGGGTTCTGGAAGGAGGAGGAGGAGAAGGGAGATCAATGAGCAATGCAATTAGCGTTGATCGGTGAAAAAACGCCCATAACTAGGTAGTACCTTTCTTGGGATTAACTTAATAACAGTTTTATTTGCTATGTAAATACAACATTTGTTCCCCGCGTTCCCACCAACCGCCCTGGAAAGTAATATTATATAATCGAAGGCTGCTTGAAATCAACGGTTCATTTCTACACCCGTAGATGGCTGAAAAATGTATTTGGAGTGAGGACTTCCCTCCAGTCACAAAACATCTTGCTTCCTATCCTGCCCCCTTAACAGCATAAGCAGAGATTGTTTTGGTTGCATTTTTCTATGAACTTGAACCTCGTGAGCTCGTGGCTTATCTGGCCTGCAGGCAAAGGAGTTAGACAAAATTGTGTATTCTCATCTTCTTTATAGGCTTAATACATATTGAGGGAGGCTGAATTCAAAAGAGATAATGTGACCTTTTAAACTTGGAGGAAGCAAAAGTGGTCTTTGAAGAAGCGGGATAAAAAGACTATTAATGCTTTTTAACTTTACTGTTGAAGAAGACTGCTAAGCGAAGCATAGATAGCCAGAAAACAAATAAGTGGATCATAATCCAAATTATCAAAATCAAATTATCATCTAGAATACATTATGTAGAAACCAGGCCCCTTGAGAAGTTCATGATACTGGGAAAGGTGGAAAGAAAGTGAAAAAGGCAACCACAAACAATATGGATGGCTCTGATTCATTACTAGATCATAATTTGATCTAATGTAACATAAGAGAGGAATTTAGGGAAAAAACGATTCCATCAATTTTTGTCTCAGGTTGCAATTTATAGAATTTGGAATTACGTAATGCACCTGCCTGCTGTATTAGATACAGAGGGACAATTTTTTTATTTTTGCTCATCTAATAGTTAAAACAGATGAACAGTGATATTCAAATTTTCAAATATGCTTCACTTATGCTTCCTTTTTCCTCAAGTTAACACATAGTCTGAGACCCTCCAGAATACCAAGGTTAGGGTATATGATTATAACCGTACCCCTTTGAGGTTTCACATCAATCAGTTTCTGGTAAAATTTGCCTGTCTTTTGAGAAATGCCTAGTTTTGGTTCTGCATTTTGGACTGTTCCTAGAGTGAATGATTATAGGTTTCTGTCCTACATATTTCTGTAACATTAGTCTCTTCAAAACTGTATGGTAGAAGTGCTATAACATCTGTTTAAAACAAGTATTTTCCTTATATTGCTGTTTCTTGTATTTCTGTAAAAACCTTAACATAGTTTACTATTTTTATTAGGAATTAATATGAAATCACCAGTTTATCTAAACATAGCTTAATTCTATAATCATAGTTAAAATTAAGTTGTTTCCCCAGTTAATGTATTATAGGTAGTCCTCCATGTATGACCACAATTGAGCCCAAAATTTCTGTTGCTAAGTGAGATAGCTGTTAAGTGAGTTTTGCCCCATTTTACGACCTTTGTTGATGCAGTAATTAAATGAATCACTGCAGTTGTTAAGTTAGTAACATGGTTGTTAAGTGAATCTAGCTTCCCCATTGACTTTCCTTGTCAGAAGGTCACAAATAGTGAGCGTATAATCCGAGGACACTGCAACCATTATAAATATGAACCAGTTGCCAAGTGTCTAAATTTTTATCACATGACCATGGGGATGCTGCAACGGCCATAAGTGTGAAAAATTGTCATTTTTTTCAGTGCCATTGTAACTAAACAAATGGTTGTAAGGAGATTACCAGTAATGTTTATTTATGCATCATTTATACATTCTTTTATTCCCTCTCCCCCTACCAAACTAATGGTAATACAAACAACCCTTAAGATTCCAATCCCTACAAAATAAAACAGTTGTTTTCTCAATTGTAGGAAGAATGGAGAAATCATTCCATAGAGATGGAGTAATCATCTATACATTTCCAGATCACATACTTCTGGTGGGTTAACTCAAAGCATTACTTCCTGCATCAAATATACAGGGTGTCAGATTCAATTGGAAGGATGTGGATATGTGAAGATATCTAAAAGTCAAACTACATAAGACTTATTCCATAAAATAGCACTTCAAATTGTTCTTGAAAACCTATATAATGTAAATGTTGATATTGGTATATTAGTGACATACATAACTAAATATCAGAGTGTTCAAGCATTATTCAACATTTATATGAAGCTGCTTGGAATGATTTTTGGCAGATTTAGAACTAGATACCGATATGTCGACAATACCTAGTGATAATTCCCTGTTCTGCAAAGTCAGCATTGGATGCCTCCAGGGCTTCTGCGTATCTCCAGCTTATAAAGGACAGGATGTGAGATAATAAGCTGAAACTAAAACAAGATGGAACTGTTACTGATTCTAAGGGTAGACCTCAAACGGTAGAGCAAGCTACTAATAAATCACTCAAATTACATATTTTAATCAGACAATGGAACACAAAAGTTAAGTCTAGCAATATTTACATCATTGTAATTTTTTCAAAAAGGTTGGATCAGTAACAAGAAAACTTCATTGTGATACTTTAATGAGCTAAATATATCAAAAGATTCTAGGCATTGTCCAATCCCGTAATTGTTTTTTTAATACAAACAAAACCCCTCCCAGTCGTAGTATAATATACTAATTCTCCACAAAGACAATCTACATTATCAAAATGTTTTAATTAAATTTTGGTATCCACAATGACAATGGAAGGTTTTCAGAGATTATAATAGGATATTTTATTTCTCTATACCTGTATTCTCCTTATGGCTTGATTTATACAATACAGACCCATATGTAACATAAAAAGAGGGGGGGGACTATATTGCTGTGAGGCATTTTCTTTCCTAATATATTTGTGACAGTGATATGGTGATACTCAAGTAAGAGCTATTTCTGTAGTTTTGATGTCTGTAGGTATTTGAATTGGGGAAATGAAACTGAAAAAAGGCAATTTTGTAATAGTGCATACATTGGCTACAGCAGATGGCCATGAATACCTGATGCTCCCACAACTGGCTCTAAAATGCAAAGATCTGCATTGGGAGCAGGCAGATCTTTGGCTTTTCTCAGAAAAGCTAGACTAGCTATGATGTAGATGAGAAATGCTTTAAAAATAAATGGCCCTACACAATTCAGTATCAAGATGGAATTTTAGAGCTAATTTTATTGTTAAGAAGTAAAACTGATAAGAATATCCTACTACTTTTGGTAGTAAAGGAAACCAGAATTAGCTTGCAAAAATAGAGCTTGTTAAACTCAGTTTCAGTTCCCCAAGACAAGTTATCAATAACATCATACCTCAAAATCATTGCTCCTATATACAGTCTAAGAAGATAAAACTTGAAATGGCTTAAGGTAGAGTGAAAATCGAAGGTTTTCTCTTTGTTCAACTCATCTGGAATATACCATACCTACATAGGACATAACACCAGAGCTTTGTATATTTTACTGCGTTTATTGCCAGGGTGTGCGAAGAATGTGTTTATGATTATAATCTGCAGTGCAAGGCAGTGCAGTGGTTAGAGAGTGGAACTGGGATTTGAAAAACCCAGAATTCAAGTTATCTCTTGAATAAGACAGTAACAGTGCAACTTTATACTTGTCACTTTTCCTCAGCCCCAATAGCCTAAATTTTTTTGCTGTGGGTATATAATGAGTGGTGACTGCTTGTATTGTATAACATGAGCTCTTTAGAAAAGATGGATAAAGGTTGCTTAGGAACACTGGCCACCAAAACATTTTAATATATTTAAATATATGTGTATTTGACAGAAGCAATTTGAATATTAATATGAGAAAAGGGCACACAGGTGAATTTGTGTGAATAGAAAAATAGCCAATATGCATGAATTAAAGCACCATTGTTGAGGTTTATTCTCCCATAGTAGGCACAATAATGCTAATGCATGTTAAAGGGCAGTAGAATTTCTTTAATTAGGTTTCTTGTGCCCAAGAGTTCTAAAAACGAGCAGATAAAAGAAGTAATATGCCTAGGGATGTTATGCTTTGTGTGATCATTTTGATTTTATGCCTAGGAGAATCAGCACAATACTATAGAATTCTCTGATAACCTCTTCCATTGAACATCAAGTTTCTGAGTCAGTATCATTCCAATAACATAGCTTTATATTTCCACAATTATATTAGAATATATTAGTTTTCACACTTAAATATATTGAACTAAAGTGGGACTTACTTCTGAATAAATATCTATGCAGTTGCTCTATTATCTTTTTTATATTTGACAAAGGATACTGCTGCTATACTAAGACAATCCTTCTCATAAAATTATTTTCTGAATAACTATAGTGAAACATTTCTTCTCTTGCAGTCATTAATTTGTCATGGCTTTGACATAGTTTTCAGAAACATCATGCAATTGTATCTTGCAATGTTATGGAAAGGCTGAAAATCACCCTTTCACAAAAACCTGCTCAGGACCAGACAATCATATTCATTTCAGCTAAAACTTAAGCTACATTTGATTCAGAATATTCATAACCTACTAGCAAACTAGCCTCTCAATGGTTAAACTAAGCTAAAGAAGCAAGAAATTCTGCACAGAAATAAATGAAAGGCCTGCCTCCTTATCATGCAAATGTATTTCTCTGACTAGGCCTTTGTTATAAAACAAATCTTATGAAGAGTAGTACCATTTATGCAAATTCATATAAATTCATAGTGTTAATGGCAATGTGAAATAGAGAAATTGTCTACTCTAGCTATTTGTCAAAACTAGAAGTGGGAGTTATGAGTCTTCCTAGTATATAATAAAAGTATTAATTAAATCCTTCAGTCTTGACTCCTGATGATTACATGGACATATCCAAGTTGTTTTCTTGGCAATAATTCAGAAATCATTTGCCTTTGCTTCTTCCTCGGTATTCAGAAAAAAGGACCTCTTTGGGAATTTCTGCAAGTTTCCCATCTAAATACTAATTTATATAATTAATTATATATTAAATATCAACAGGGTCATAGTCTCCTTAGCTTTTTGGGACTAGGCAAGTTTCCTATATGTAATACAAGTTTCCTATATGTAATACATCCAATGATCTCTCTGTCTCTCTCTGTCTCTCTCTCTCTCTCTCTCTCTCTCTCTCTCACACACACACACACACACACACACACACACACACACGTCCCTCTCATTCTTACGTTTGAGTGGTTGCTTCAGTCAAATATTATTTGGGTTAATATTTCATATTAAGTTACAGTTTGATTAACTGTAATGAATAAGCAATAATAGGTTAGGATCCCACATACTGCAACATCACAAACTATGTTACAGTCCAGAATGGCTTAGTTCACCTCATATAGTAAATCAAATCACATTATAACTTACAGTAATATATGTGTGAACCTAGACTGTATATTAAGGTCTATTGAAATAAATCCAAAATTATAGCAAACATTTTCCTATTAAATTCTCCTATGGTCTCGTGAGGTTTTATGGAGAGTCCAAACAACTACTTCTTCTAAAGCTGTCTTGAAGGATTCCAAATGCACTTCTCTTTTGTTATCTTTTTTGAGTTAATGGAAAAAGATTAAATTCCATTGGACTAAACCAGACTAAGAAATAAAAAAAAATCTCAAAAGAAGGCATCGACAAACCATTTCTATACTATTTTTTTTAGAAAACTATATTACTCTTAACTCAGAGGAGACTTGACATTTATCTAAGCTAGGAACAAAGGTATGTTACTTTAAGTAGTTGTTATATGCAAAATAATTATGCATACTGCAAAAGTTTGTATATGTATTTGTAGAAATTAAAATATGGCAGTTAATTTTTCCAGGTTGCTATAGCCAAAAGTCTATTTGGAAGGACTGAAAACATTTTATGGATGAATCTACAGACAACTTTTCTATAATGTGATGACCTTTTCTGCCACATTCCTGATCATATTTTAATAATTTGTAAACTCAAAAAGGGGTTTCGGTGGATTTCTGCTATTGTGGCTCCAATTCAATTAAATATCCTCCCTAAGGAGATTCTTAATGCATGGACCTTTAATTTTACTGATTAAACTTTGATTTTTAATTTAGTGTTTGCTGACTTAGAATTGTTTGAATTAAGCAATAAATTATATAACACCAGCTACAAATTTTACTCCATTTTTAATATTTCTGTAATATCTTTTATGATAGGGAAAGGCCATAATTCCATAACAGAGCAGACACTCTTCATGTAAATAATTCAGGGTTCAATTATTGTCTTCTTCAGGGTTGGATGGAAACCCACTGCCAGATAAGACAAACAGTATAGAACTGGATGGGACAGTCATCAGATTCAGCTGTAAACAGCTTCTTTTGTTCTCTCTATTTTTTAATGTTTTGTTAGCTAATTTCCACTATGGAGAACTCTATAGAAGGAACATTTAACTTTGATGTTTAGATGTGCACATTTAAAAATGAAAGAGGACTATTTTCCCCCCCAAAAGTGGGGTTACATTAGTTAATAAGCATGATATTATGGGAGACAGTATGAAACAGCAAACATAGTGGCTCACTATGTGGCAGTGAAATTCTGATCCTCACAAGTCACTTCTGTTTTCTAGGTAGTCCACAAATTTCGATTTTCAGCATTTGACTATATAAACTAGGTACCTGTTTTTGTTTTAAAAAGAGAACAAAGCAGAAGATCTAAAGATTAGAGTACTCTAGCCAAATTCCATATTTGGAAATCAGCAGTACAATTTGCAATTGAATGAAAGCTGACTGCCTAGAGGCAAACTTACAAGGATCTGAGTCAGAATTAAAATGACACATTTTAGGATGAAAGAAGGATGTTCCTTAAATATCCTCCTGAACAGTGTCTTAGTATGCAATAGCTACAGGCATCTTTCCCATAGTCTGTGGGTTAGAGCAGGGGTCCCCAACCCCCAGTCTGGGGACCGGTACTGGGCCGCAGCATGCCATCAATCGGGCCACACAAGCAAAGCCCCATCTGCGGGATGCAGGCAGCACATAAAACCACACCCCCTACGGTCTGCAGAAAAACCTCTCTCCACATAACCGGTCCCTAGTGCCCAAAAAATTGGAAACCTCTGGGTTAAGAGGGCAAAAGGCACAGTTGGAAATGTTGCATTCTTTGCTTTCCAGCTGCCTCAGACATCCAGAGGGATTGTTCCATTACTGTAATGTCAAAACTTCATTAGGGTAGGTCTGACAATACCATGGGCCAGAGTTTAGGTAGTGGGCAATATGTATATGAATCTGAGGTACATAATGGTGATTTAAGGAATATTGTGGTACTGTTAAAAATGTTATTTCCCCTGTTCTAAGAAAACAATATTTCCAGATTAGCTTTTATCTCTCTATAATAGTTTACCTCCTATGATAAAGAGAAAGAAATTGGTCAAAAACCTGACATTGTTATCCACACCTGCCTATTAATTCTAACTAAACACACTTACTGTACTTGGCAACTAATTCCTCCCACTGATTTCATTACACTTACTATTACAGAAGTGCTTGTAAGATCCCAACCTCAGTCTAACTTTTAACATTTCTACATTGAGAAGTGAATTTATAACACAAACCATCAACCACAATGCAAAGTATCCAGACCTGGAAAGCTTGACTCTAAAGTATGTCTCTGTTTTCACCACAGTGCTTACAGTAAATTGATCTCATTTCCTACCAACCCTTGGAGGCGCTTCACATGCTTTCACAGTTTGTGTCACTTCCAGGATTTTTTTACATTTCCCACAATCAGGATGCACAACTGAGTACTGGAAAACAATGGAAGACTAGAACTTCTGGTACAAAATTAATAAAAATAATAATAATGGTGGACAAAAATGCCAAATCCAGTCTAAACATCTGGCTGATTGTGCAACAAACCATAACAAATTGAGGACATATAGGGAAAGTTGGAAATCCATATCCATGTTCTTTCTCCCATACACTCATGAAGGATATTCCATACGTTTCTAAGAGAGGCCTGAATTCAAATAAAAAGATAGAATGAAAGAAATAGTTATGCTTCTGAAACAACAGATAACAATATTGATCATTCACAAATTGCTTTCATGATTTTCTTCTGTCTCTACGGTCACTGGGGGGAGTCCCCCATTGTCATTCAGTCGTTTTGCCCTGTAAGTTTCATAGTGGATGTTGTGAGTGACTTCTTTTAGGTCTTGAAGGTGGGTCCTGGAGAACAAGGGGAAAAAAGGTGAACAGAAGACAAAAAGCATATCCTGTTACAACACAGAAATACAGGAGCACATGTAATAATAATAATAAAGTTGGAAGGGACCTTGGAGGTCATCTAGTCCAGGGCTTTTCAACCAGTGGTATGGGTACCAACTGTGGTACATTGGCACCTGGCAGGTGGTACATGACCATCCTAGAAAAGGGGTAGTGGAGGAGGGGAATGAGCTGAACCGGTGGCAGCACCGCACAAGCCTGAGCGAAAGATGGCTGGAGCTGCAGGGCTGTCAGGGCTCAGCAGAAGCGCCAGGATCAGTGCTGCTTTCCAGCTGATCGGCGCTTCTTTGGGGCTGTCAGGGCTCAGTGGAAGTGCAAGGATCAGCGCCAGGCTCCAGCTGGAGCTCAGCGCTGATCCTGACGCTTCTGCTGAGCCCAGAAGAAGCGCCGATCAGCTGGAATGTTGCAGCATCTCCAGGGTCTTGTGATTTACATTCAGATGCTTGGCAACTGATTCATATTTATGATAGTCACAGTGTCCCACGGTCATGTGAAATGACCAAAACTTGCTGCAACCACCCAGCAGTCGGGGGAAATAAAAACCAAACACCCCACCCACCCCACCCCCACTGCCAATCCTCAACAGAAATGCTCACAACAATGAAAATCTTGGACAGGAGGAAGAGCGCTGCCGTGCGCTGTCTTGTTCGGCTGTGGCTTGGGGGGCACTTTTTTCAGTGCCATTGTAACTTCGAACAGTCACTAAGCGAACTGTTGTAAGTCGAGGACTACCTGTACTTTATCACTTTTTTCCTTTTTTTTTTTTTTGGGTCATCAAGTTTTTGACACCTTGCTAGGCGACTGGTGGAACTCGGATGTTGCCATATCCTATAAGTGGTACAATGGGTGAAAAGGTTGAAAAGCCCTGATCTAGTCCAACCCGCTGCTCAGGCAGGAAACCCTATACGAGACATGTCAAACACAAGGCCCGGGGGCCGGATGCGGCCCGCGAAGTGGTTTCATGTGGCCTGCGAAGCCATCCTGGAAACAGTGAGGGAACGGCCCCCTCTGCCTTGGCCCTGGCCCAGGCCAGCCGGGAGCCAATGTACAATTTTGTGGTGGCCATCTATGCTGAAACGCATTCAGTCTTAGCTCCATAAGCCCCCCCCCCCCCCGCATGGCCTGAGAGGAACAGTGAGGCTCCTCCAGTGGACCATGCCTTGGCATTTGCCCTAGTCCCACCCCCTTCTGCAAGAGACCCTCAGATCTATCCCACTCCTGCCCAGGGCCCCACAGGCACCCTTGACGTGAATGATGTAGAGCTGGCCATACCCACCCAGTAGGCCACACCCACTCCATCCACGCCCACCCAGTAGGCTGCACCCACCCTGGCCACACCCACCCAGCCCCCTGACGGCAACTGCAATGCTGATGCGGCCCTCAATGAAATTGAGTTTGACACCCCTGCCCTATACCATTTATACAAATGGCTGTCCAGTCTCTTCTTAGAAACTTCCAGTGTTGGATCATTCACAGCTTCTGGAGGCAGGTTGTTCCACTGATTAATTGCTCTAACTGTCAAAAAAATTCTCCTTAGTTCTAGGTTGCTTCTGTCTTTGGTTAGTTTCCATCCGTTGCTTCTTGTCCTGCCTTCAGGCGCTTTGGAGAATAGCTTGACTCCCTCTTCTTTGTGGCAGCCCCTGAGATATTGGAACACTGCTATCATGTCCCCCCTCGTCCTTCTCTTCGTTAGACTAGACATACCCAATTCCAGCAACCATTCCTTATATGTGTTCCTATTCAGTTATTTAATATGGCAAATGGTCAAAATTATCCAAATATATTAGCTTTTATATTTAAGTTGTTTGAAGACTGAGTATTTCCCTTATTCTCCTGCATTTTCATCTCTCAGAATTGTCATATATGATTGATAAATTTCTCTAACCCTTTTTTAACCTTGTAGCCATTATCACATCTTGTGGCAGAACATTTCTTAAGTGTCTATTATTTGAAGAAGTATTTTGTTTGTTCCAAATTTATCCTATAGTCATGAAAAATCTATCCAGCTTAATAACAATAGACAATAGGGAGCAACTGAGAAAAAAGAAGTATTTGCATCTCTCCTTTTTAGTACATTATTTGTTCCCATTCTATGCAAGGTGGGAGGGGTTTAGCAAATTATTTGTTGTAAATATAGATAATCCTTGAGGTATGATAGGTCATTTAACGACTATTCAAAGTTACCATAGACCTCCCAGAGTTAGATATGGTCCTGTTACAAAGTTACATTGCATGCAGCCATTCACCTCTGAACACAGAGATGTTGCAGCATGCCCATCCATCTACTTCCCCCCCATCCTACATGGGGCCTGGGGTAAATCGGGTTGGAGAGAGGCCTTGAAAGGCCTGATGCAGGTGGGTTTGTGCTTACAGTAGGCCTCCCGGGGACTCTCCTACTCCTGAAGCATCCCATGTTCCACTTAATAGCCTACAGTATGTGTTTGTTTAATGAATGTATTGGGATGGGGGTCGTTAATGAGGCAATTCACTTAACATTCATCCTGAATTGGGCAGGCTCCATTACTATCATAACTTGAGGACTATCTGTACTGTATCACCTCCCTGGAGACAAAGTCATGGCTGAATGTTGGCGAGGAGGACTGGATTCCTTACCACTCAGTCCTCAGTCAAACTCACTCCCCTGTGGTGCCAAATTGAAATAATTTTTTTACCACGGTCACTTTATTGCTATAGTATGGCAATAACTTATTTAATTTTTTGAGTTTATTTTAGTAAATTATTCCAGTTGAATAGGCAACATCTTTAAAAGTCATTCTCACCTAATGACAAAATCTCGTAGTAGAGCAAATTCACAATGGTTGAGATTTTCAACTGTAAATAAAGGAAATTACATTAATCACATATAAGAATATAGTAATAGAATCACAAAACTGAATGGAAATCTTGAGGGCCGATCCTTGCTTGAAGCAGCACTAATGTAAGAGGATATCTTGCCATTCTTAGGTCTCTCACATTATTATCTGCATGGTAGTGGATTAGATAAAACATTGCAGAAGAATTCCTTCGGATTTGTAAGAGAAGGAATGGCAGAACCTGGGGAGGGAATCTTTTCAACCTAGAATCACTACACCCCAAGCAAACTAAATCCACCCCCCCCTTGAGTGCTACTGTCCTTTATCTAACACTAACCAGGTACTGAATGTTAATTGAGAAGATTCTTATATATAGGCTTTTAGCAATAAATCGGCTTAATTGATCCTTCTCACGTGATCCTGGTCTTCCATGACTGTCAGGACCTAAAACAACAATATTCTCCCTAGGAGATTAGAAAGAAGGGGCCTTTCCACCAACTTCTGTCTAGAATAGACCTATGCCCTTCTGTTTATCAAAAACGTTTTTCTGATGATTGTGGAAACCACCTGAATAATATAGACTGCTGTCAAAAAGTTCCAAAAATATCAACAAAAATCAAGTGAAAGCAAGTGGAGCAGAGATTTGTGAGGAGGACAAATTTACCTTCACTTGCCTCTTTCCACATTGTTTTCTCACTCATATTTTTTTCACAACTCTATTTATTATAAATTATTCTGTCAATTCAGTTACAACATGACTTTAAGAGGTACCATATGAACTCAAAGCAAAAATCCATATCAGAAATTACAACCAGCATTAATACACTAGTAAAACCATGGTGTCATATATCATCAAAATAAAAAAAATAATGTATGCAGGTACCAGTCCTCATTTTGTGTCCTAATGCAAGCTGAAAGACTCACGTTTTTAAAAGCTTTCTGAGTGTTATAATTTATCATATATTATCCTTCCTGGTGTTTAAAACATTTAAAAGTTAATATCAAGCTATTGTTCATTAACTGAGATTTTTTTCTTATATATTTCAAACTAAAAACTGATCTAATGGGATTTCTCTTTTTCTTGCTCACCACCCCCAGTTATACAGAAAATTCACCCTTGAAAATAACTGCTTTATTTTCCTATTTTATGATTCAGTATTTCAAATAAGCTCGCCTCAATTTATTCATCCATATCATGAATAACTAATGAATCCCATTGAATAAGGTGGAAAAGATAGTGTACATATTTGTAGGTCATAGGCAAGAATCTTCACAAAAAATGCAACTGGTATCATTTGCAGATTGTCTGCTACCATTAGCATTTGCAATATAGTGATATCTAAAAATAGAGCAGTCAGAAATTACAGGATAATGATGCATTTACCTTCAATGACTCCCCAAGGTGTTTTTCTACCTAAGACTCTTTTCCCATTCACTTGATATTCTTTGTCACTGCCCACCACAGCAAATGGCATACTTTCCTGCTGAAAATATACATAGACATTAATTTGCTTCTTTCTAGTACTGTACAAGTAAGGATGATTTTATTATTTATATATTTGTTTGTTTTCCACCTTTTATTATTTTCACAAATAACATATCCAATCTCCTCCTATTTTCCTCACAAGAACAACCCTATGAGGTGGGTTGCACCAAGAGTGACACAATCACCCAGCTGGCTTTCATGACTAACTCAGGAATTGGTTCTCTCCATTTCACCCAATCTCCTGTACCTTTATAAAATAATATGTGTATACAAGTTGTCATTGCTAGTTTCTCTCTCTGTACAGTAGGTCTATACATAGTACACACAATGTATAATGGAAAATACATTTGAAAACTAATGACTCCTTTAATCATCTAATAAATAAAAAGGCAGCACATAAATATGTCTAAACAAAAATAATTAAATAGGTTTGTAAAAATGTATTTAAAAAATTAGATTCCCTCACTAAATGCATGTTTCAAATGTATGTAAGGATAAAAATTCCTTACATTCCAACTTTGGATTCAGTCTCTAAAAGCTACATATGATCTAATTTTAATCTCTAGTAAAAATAATAGTTTATAAAAATCTAAAGTTTATATATTCTCAATAACTAGACACACATCCTAGGTGTAGCTCATATCAAACAAACCAAAGATGAAAAAATAGTGATTAAACTACCTCAGAACCTACTACAAAAAGTCAATTGGTATTATAAACATCGCACCCTGATTTTGTCATTCTCTGTTTTGTCTTCAAGGTCTTCATCAAACTCTTTCTGGGGATAAAATTCAATTCCATTGACTTCTAGTTCCTTACGGACCTGGTTAGAAAAAATATTTCAGGTTGAAAAGATTATGCAAGCAGATAGCATTTCTGACACAATCTAGAAAGATATTTGGATTGTGTGCTTTGCTAGATGCTTTCCCAAGGGAGACTCACCCTCTGTTTGAACTCAATCTTTTCTTCCAGAGTCATGGTGTCTGCCTTGGCAATAACTGGAATAATATTTACGACTTTGCTCAAATGTTTCATAAATTCCATATCCAAAGGTCGCAAACTGCAGGAAGAAGATGATTAGACAATTATAACCATCTTTACTATGGAAAAGCATCTTAATAATTTAGTAATAATTAATATAATTAATTCCTCTAATGTATTCAGCTCCAGTTTGGAAGGTGGGGGATAAGATACAGGAGCCTAGTTGATCTGTGACTCCAGGCCCTTTCCTATTAATTTATTGCCATCAGGAAGACCCTTTGACTGACAGAGAAAGTAAAAGAAATAAATTCTAGGCACTAAAACCTCAAGGAACATAAAATAAACAAGAAAAAATCTCAGCGACCTTGAGGTTAAGTGCTAAATATAAAGATTACATAAGTGCCTGTTTTGCCAAGTACCACTCTTGTTGGCAAGCATGACTGATAGCAGTTACTAAAGAGTATAGATAGAGCTGGTAAAATAATTACATTTGTGTGATCACACAGATTAATATATTCATATTAAATATCTAGAAATACTGTATTTGCCCACAGTACTGTGCACTTGAATTTTGAAAAAATCATATATGAACCAGCCTTAAAAATATTCTGTCCTGGAAACTTGCATACAATAATTACCGGTATAATGAATAGGAATAGCTCTTCTAGATCTTCATATGCATGATTGGGTATAGAGATGTAACATATCTCAAGCATGGATTTTGCTTTGAGTAAAGCTTACCACTCTCTTCTTTGGGCCTTTGGAAGAAATATTACCATGAAATCTGTGCTGACCTTGATTACTTTAGCTGGCTGCAAAAGTTACAGGGGGAATTTATTCTAGCATTCTGTTAGTCCAAAGAGGGTATTTTTTCCTCCATTAATAAAACCTATCGGTAACAATCCTAATTCCCCTCTCTTCATCTTATGGACCAGCCCCAGAACTAGGAGAGATACATACGAGTGGCCTGTGGGAGAGATAAAGTAGAGGCAACAGTGGACTCTTGTATCTGGGATTCGTTTCTTTCTGGCAATATTCACCTCTTCCTTCAGGAATTTCTCATATTGCTCATTGATGTATTTTTCAATGGGCTCCCAGCTAAGCACGCAGAAGAGAAGAAGCAGACAGACAATCTTTTATTTCTTATTCCGACATGTGGTAATAGGTTTTGGGGAGGAAACAAACCACAGGCAATTATACAGCACCAAAATGATTTTTGGCAGGGTCCCTTTTATAGCCAAATAATCTGACATTCTGGTCTAACTGATATTACAAAATGAAATTGGGATGCTGCTAATATGATTTTAGATTTAGATTTTAGAATCTCTGTATTTTGCAACTGTGTCACCAGATTTGCACAATTATAACAAATTACTGAGGTACTGTATATATCATGTATGGAACATGGTAGTAGATCATGCTTTATGAGCAACAAAACAAATCATGTAGCATAAAAAATAGCTGAATAATTTTATAGATCATGGAATAAATAGAATATGAAATTAGTAAAATGACTAAAATGTACTAATGCTAAATGTTGTATGTTCTCTGAAATTATTTGTGATATTTTCATGTATATTAAGGAGGAAATTTAAAATTGCTTTGCAGCTTGGGTCTCTGGGAAGACACATATTTTTCATATTGAAAAACATGTCCTTTATGCAGGATGTCCATTTTGTCATTTAGCAGTACAATGTTCCCAGGGAATAGGGAACCATGCTAGAATTTGCAATGATACTTATAGAGGTAGGACCTTTCCTCAGAGATACCAAGTCTCTAATCCACTACAACTTTGAAATATAAACAGTTTCCCAACTGCTCTTCATACTGGCAGCATAGTAAGCCACCCTGAAGGGTTTTTGTAATTCCACTAGTATGACCATTTAGGGGGAAATTAACCTCCTTAACCTCATGTGATCAGTAAATTAGTTGTTAAAAATAATTTAATCAATATGAGATTACAGATAGTCCTTGACTTGCAACCACAATTGGGACTGGACTTGATTTTATGACCATTTTACTGTGGTTGTTAAATGAAACATGGTCATTAAGCAAATCTGGCTTCCCCATTTATTTCCTTATCAGAAGTTCAGCTGGGAAGGTTGCAAATCATGATTCTGAGCACAGCATACCACAACCATTGTAAATGGGAGCTTGTTGCCAAGTGCCTGAATTGTAATCATGTGACTGCAGTGGAGGTGCAACAGTTGTAAATTTGGGGACAGGTTGTAAGTCACTTTTTTCTGAAGGCATCATAACTTTGAACCATTACTAAATGAACACCCATAGGTTGAGGACTACCTGTATTAAAACATTCCTGTTGGCATTTGTTTAGTAAATGTCATCATATCATCAAAACTATAGTTTGAAGTAACTTGGAATACAAGGCACATACTATATTGCTGTATGCTATTTCTGAAAATGTTTATGTGTGTGTATATATTAACCAGAGTTTGCAAATGAGAATTCCACTATATTTAAATCCTACCCACTTCTCTACTTATATCAGGAGGAAAAGAAAGTTGGATTGAAACAGAAAATCAGTGAAAAAAGAAAATACTTACCAATTTTCATTATTGATCTGGTCACCAAATCCAGGGGTGTCAATAACAGTCAGCTTCATTTTGACACCACATTCTTCAATAACTGGGGGAAGAATGTTGCTGTTACTCGCCTTCAAAAGTAATATCTCTCTTTCTCTTTCTCTGTCTCTGTCTCTGTCTATCAATATAATTAGGGCATGAAGATCTTTCTAGAGGACTAAGAGTTTTATAGCCCTTTAGAAATAATTACTTGTCAAAGTATATATTTTTAGCAAATGGAGAAAACATGTAGTGGATCATGAGTGAAACATTTGCAACCATCCCTAGGTGAATGAGAGAGGAGTAAATAAATCCACATTCACAGGGAAGCCTATTTATGTTTGACATATATTAATAAATTAAATACTCTTATTATATTGTATTTATTTATAATATCTGTAATCCTTGAACGGTAAGAACTAGAAGGCAATATCTAGTTGATATGACCTTCAATTAGAAGATTACTTATACGGATTCCAAATATAGCCCAAGTAAGACTCAGTTTAGTTCTTGGCACCAGGAAATAACCTTGACCAATAATAACAATGGTTCAAAGGTCATCTGATTGGATGGATTCAGCCATGCCACTTCCATTTATCCATATAGGGACAGTCCATCTCTGTACAACCACAGTATGTATAAAATTGTATGCAACTAGGCAAAAAACAACAACAACCAACAATAACAATCATACAGTTGATTTCCAAGATAATATCTAGGAACCATTTCAGAATTTTGACATATTCATGTAGGATTATACCTGAATAATACTGTATATTTCTGAATATGTCCTGCAAGGATGGTGGAATAAGTAATAGGGATGGTATACTGGACTGGATCAACCTTTCAGAGTTGTATAAATGAGGTCTTTCAGATATATCAGTGCTTCCAAAGCTTCTAAAAGCCTGGCCTGTTTTTTAGACCATATTTTACCCCAAAGGTTCCCTAGTATATAATAATTACACCATTGTGATTAATGTATAGTGTAGACACTTTCACAAATGAAAATATGGCATGTCAATAACACTGTGGAGTACCATATTTGACATACAACTAATATTGCATATATATATATGCAAAACTTTGCTATCTTAGGGTATATTACACACACACACACACACACACTTTCCAGAAGCAGTTATCCATATTCAAACCTGTGTCTACAGAATGGAGTCAAATGTAATATACCAGTCCCTTCTGTGTTACTTAAGAAATGGATGCAAAGAGGTGAGGCCAGTATCACAGCATCACTATCCCTTCCATTATTATATTCCCTTTATGTCAGTAACACAGGAGGCATGGTTGTTTTACTTATAGTTTCGTGTTATAGGTAGTTGAGCAAGGGAGGTGAGTGCAGTGAGGTCTCCTTTTAGTACGTAGGTAAGTTGCTTTTCACATTTTCAAATTCTGCCACTGCATATCTACCCCAGCAAAACTACTGTTTTGTCTGTCAGACTACCAGCCAACTTCAAATCTATTTAGCCTAGCATTTCCCCTGCAATTGGCCCTACATCTATTGTCACAACTATTTTATATATTTTTTCAAAGAGATAATTCTTAAAAAAATTAGCTGAGCACCCCATTCCCTAGAATTGGAACAGCACAGCAGATTCTTTCAGATTCTTGCCATTCTCCTGGGAGGGAGAGCCAAATTACTGGATGAAGAAAAAGCAAGGCGTTCTATTTCAGTCCTTCTTTTGAAAGCTGTACTGCCCTGACCCTAATTCCTTTTGTAATTAATAAAGAAACGGCTTAAAAGCCTGGCATAATAAGCCACAGTTTATCTGCATACTAAGAAAAACTGGCTTTTACCATGCCCAATAGCCTTGATTTCTACAGTCTTAGGGATCTTCTCATCACGGTTCCAGCCTGAAGATTTCCTGCTTACTTGGGATTTGAACAGGGTGTTTACCAGTGTTGATTTTCCAAGTCCACTTTGGCCTAGGGGAAACAACATACAAACAATATAAAATAAGTCTTTGGCTAGTGTTAATTGCTACTGTATTTTTTTTATTACTACTGCTTTGACTATCAAATCCTCTCAGGGAGCTCCTTTTAATGGCTCTTTTTTCACTTGCAAGGTATACCCCCCATCAATCCCAGTGTTCCTCATTGATCACACAACATAGGCCATATCTTGTCTCAGCTCTGAGTTAAAATAGTAAAAATCTTACACCAATCCTTCATAAAAGAACAGCTTTATCTTGCTTAGGCCAGTCAGCACAGGCCTAAGAACACACACACACACACACACACACAGAGAGAAACAACATTTATACAGCTGCCTGGAATGGATCATTATTGCAATGTGTGATTTGGGGTGTATCCTGAGCATGTGGGAAGATATAGCTACATTCCTCACTTAGGTTACTGGCCAACTGGATATTTTAACCATTAATCAGATTTTGACCAACTACCTGTCTGAAATATGTGAAAACAATAACTTAGTTATCAAGGAACTAAGAATGCAAAAGAGTGCATAATCCAGACAACCTGTTATATGGCAGCATCTCTTTTTACCTGTCACAGTAAAAGCTGAATGGTAAACTGCTAGTGAAAAAAGGACCATTTGGTAGATTTAAAATATAATAAAGAAATACTGGCAACTTTTCTCAACTTGGTACTTTCCAGACATGCTGGAATCAGAACTGCTGTTGCCCATGCTGGCTATGGAGTTTGGGAGCTGTAAAGCTCATTCACACATCCTCCTTGCCTGATGTGAGAATGTCTCCCCCCTGCTTTTTCTTGAAAGAAGCAGGTAACTTTGTCCAAGCAGCCCAAGTCCACTGTGAAAGCAATTATATCTCAAAAGTTATGTTTTCTTGTTTATGCCTCTACAAGTGGATTTTGGCTGTCTGTCTGCAGCACAGCATTTCACTGTAGGCAAATACTTCTGCTCCAGTTGGTTACCATGCATTGTGGTGGAAATACCTCTTTCCTGCTCACTGATATCCATGTCTGTGTTAGCCTGGCTACAAGGCTGCCTGCCCCCTATTCTGAAAGGATTTTCACTGATGGACTGGTAAAATGCTGGACTGCTTAATGAATGGACAGAAAGGCTGGAGTGGTCTGATACTATGTTTTTGGTTTTCTTTTTACAATTTTCTTTGCTTTAATCAGGTGAAGTTGATAAATGTTCTGCCAAGTTCCTCCTGTGGCATAAGTATCAGGAAGAACAGTAAAATTGAATTTTTCTTGTGCTGGATGAGAAAATGTCAAGCACAAGAAGGAATCAGTGGAGTCAGCTCATATAAAAGCCACATTGTCCTTAACCCCCCCCCCCCTCCAAAGCAAAGCTGTTTGCTTTCTTGGCAGGGATAATGGGGAAAAAAAGCAAGGAAATCTATCAATCAGGGTCTGTGATTATTGTCTGGCCAACACTTTTGTCAATGTCATTTCCAACTGATTTAAGCAGAGAAACAAGCAGTTTAAAACTGTCACGTGGAAGCAGCCATGGCATCAACTTGTTTGGAGGATATTCATCCAGGCAGAGACTGTTTTAAGTTTGATTACTAATTGCCATGAGAGAAAATGCTAGGTCAAAAGAAAGAACTATTTAGGATGAGATACCTGCAGAAGTAGAGCCTCAAGGAAATACTCATGCTTGTAGGAAATGCTGCAAGGCAACTTCAAAGAAAGTACCTAGATGAAGTCTCTCCTACCCCAAGCCTTTCTTTCCTACCTACAACCATGATGTTGAAGTCAAATCCAGTTTTCATGGTCTTCTTCCGCATTTGCTCTATGATAGTATCAATCCCAATGTAACCCAGTAGGTTGGAATTAATACTGACAGGTTTCATTGGTACTACTGGCTTTTGCCGTGGCTCTGGTACCAATTCAGACATGACTGCTTCAGACTTGGTATCTGCTGAGCCTGCAAATGGAAGGAAAATAAAGAATAAATTATGTGCCCAAAGCAAGTCGAATATAAGCACTAGTTCTTGGGGTTGATATTCCTGACCAGTTTGCCCTGTCTTGAGTATGGGCCTTTGACATATTTTGCAGGAATGCATGACATTGCCCTTTGCCTGCCCCAGGACATCAGGAAGGCAGTCTTTTTTTCTGCTGTACATTAAGTGCCAGTTCAGATGGTGCTATTCAGTTCACCTATTGAATTTGATTTCACTGTGGAAAATACCCTGTTTCTGATTATTTCTTATGTACTGCAGCAAATACTGCCTCCCCCCTTCAGTCACTGATAGAAGTCCCTTTCCCCCCTCCCTCTCCTCTCCTCTTTTTCTGGTCCAAGACAGGTAAAGAAGAAGGGGAATCTGTCACCCAAGAGCCATGGAAAATGCAATTAGATTAGGCTGCCACCATGGCCAAACCAGAAGAACCAGTTAAATCAGAATAGAGATTTTATAAACCAGTTTCCTTTCCATCCAGGAGTTCAGAAGCTTAAAGCTGGAAAAGCTTTCAAATGGATAAAGAGTCAAGAGACTAAATAGCCCAAAGATTCATTCCCCTTGTATCTCCAGAGAGACCAACATTCTCCACATTAAACCACATGGGTAGTGTATAAAGAAAATAATCAGTCACTACCCCAGAAGTAGGCAACCTTGGCTTTTTTATGACATGTGGACTTCAACTCCCAGCTCAGGAATTCTGGGAGTACCCCTGCCCTAGCCCAATATGCACAGGGCTTGTTTGTTTGTTTGTGTGAAAGAAAAAAGAGCTCACTTGCTGGATTTTTTGTAATATATCTATTTTCAACTTAAAGTTCGCTAGTGAGATGTCTATGAGATTCATGCTTGGGGGAAATTTTATATTTGGTTCAGGCACCTATCAATGATTGCCATTAAATTACTAAATCTGTTTCTGTTTTATAGTAAAATGGAATAACTCCTCTTACCAAAGACTCATTTCTCTTTATCAGAATGTCTCTATTTGGGCTCTTCTAAGTGGGAAAGTAGTACAGATTAAGGACTAGTTCAGACAATACACATACCCTAATTCTTTTATCTTTTTTTCATATTTGGAGGCAATAGATACCTCTGGCTGGTCCTAGCATGTAGCAGAATGAAAAACACCAACCATCAGACTCCATCCAGTGGGACTGATGAAGGTAAGAACTAGTAAGTGGTTCAGCCAATCTAGTCCCCAAAAGGGTGATATCTGAACTTCACTACAAATAGCAATAAGTCATGACCATGTACCATTTAGTGAAAAGAAAAAAAAGTATGAAACATGCTATATAAAAAGAAAGACATCAATTTCAAATACCATAGTGGCAGTGGCACTCTGTAATGAAACTTGTACAACATATCTATTGTCAGTTTTAGGCATTTTCACAAAATGTTGAAATAATATGTTAACATAGCATTTCCATTCTTTTCTGTAGAATGAAGCAGTTACTTCTGGCCACATAATAAGAACTGATGGCAGATGAACTTAGACAGTCATAGGATGGATTCCACTTGATAAAAAGTGTCCACAAAAGGGACCTAAAACAAGATAGAGCAATGACATCAGCAAGTACTGGGTGCCCAGTTAGCAAAAGAAAGCTAAAAACCGTATTGGTTGGAAACATGCTGAAGAGACCTTCACCCTAAAGTGAATAGACAATGGCTGGAATGATGAAGCAATTACTTAAACAAAAATAGCAAAGCAGAGATAGAAGTTGGAGACCAGCATATAGCCTGCTCAAGTTCTCTAAAAATGAATAAGGATTGTTTGATTGGAATACTTAAAAGCATTTGTTATAAATAAAATATTCCATGATTATCAGTCATGGTATCAAATCTTCTTTCATCAGGTAACCACATCAATGGATAGGCCTGTGGGGGTGCCAATAAAATGTGACTAAATTAGTGGACCAGCAAAATACTATGGACATAATTTACTTTTACTTCAATAAGACATTTGATAAAGTAGACTACAACCTACTACTTGATAAGTTAGGAAAATGTGGATTAGACAGCATCATCAAATGGATTAGTAACTGGCTGACCAATGGCACTCAACGTTAATGGATCTCCATCTGCAATGGAATAACTCAAGGGTCTGTCTTAGGCCCAGTATTCTTCAATAGCTCCATAAAAGATTTAGATGATGAGATAGGAGAGAAACTCATCAGATTTGCACATGACACCAAGCTGGCAGGAATAGCCAACACTAAGCTTAAGATACAGAAGGATCTCTGGGCCTTATCTAACAAAATAAAATTCAGTAGTGAGAAAAGTAAGGTTCTACACATAGGCAAGAAAAGCTAAATGTACAGATATAGAATAGGTGGTACCTGGATCAATGGTTGTAACTGTGAGAGGGAGCCTGGAGTCCTAGTGAACAATCATTTAAATATAAGCCAGCAGTGTGTTGCACCACCAAAAAAGCTAATACAATCCAAGGCTGCATTAACAAGGGATAGAATCAAGATCACATGAAGTGTTAGTATCATTTTATAGTGCCTTGTAAGACCACACTTGGAATATTGCATCCAGTTTTGGTTGCCACGATATAAAAAAGATGTTGAGACTCTAGAAAGAGTATAGAGAACAGCAACAAAGATGATTAGGGGACTGGAGGCTGAAATATATGAAGAACAGTTGCAGGAATTGGGTATATCTGGTCTAATGAAAAGAAGGACTATGCATGACGTGATAGCAGTGTTCAAATATCTAAGGGACTGCCACAAAGAAGAGGGGGTCAACCTGGTCTCCAAGGCATCTGAAGGCAGGACAAAAAGCAATGGATGGAAGCTAATCAAGGAAAAATCCAACTTAGAAATAAGGAGAAATTTCTGACAGAAAAATTAATCAGTGGAATGGCTTGCCTTCAGAAGCTGTGAGTGCTCCATTACTGGAGGTTTGTAAGAAGAGATTGGACAGCCACTTGTCTGAAATGATATAGGTCTCCTGCTTGAACAGAGAGTTAGACTACAAAATCTTCCAACTCTGTTATTTTGTAAAATAAGGCCCAGCTGAAAGCTCTCTCTTTGAAGCTCCCTTCAAAATTCTCACATCTGAAGTCTGAAGGCAACTTGGAACACTTGAAAGCATTTCTTGCTCATTACTGTTACTACTACTACTTATTTACTTCTTTGTTGGATACACAGAAGTGCTTCCATGGTGAAAGGCTTAACCGGTAATATCACCGTTGCCTGGAGGTCGCTCAGTTGGGGGCTCCTTTCATGTTCCCGTTAAATTGCTCACTGAAGTGCTACCCATCTATCTACTCGTGGTCATCCACTTTTGAACTGCTGGACTGGCAAGAGCTGGAACGAATGACAAGCTCACCCTGCCATTGCACCAACAACTGGGTCTCAAATGCAAGCCTGCCGATCATCAGACCAGTGTCTTAATCACCACCACCACCACCACCACCACCACCACCACTACTACTACTACTACTACTACTACTCTACTAAAAATAGTTCTTTGGATTGATCAGCTACCTCTACTTGATTCTCTCGGACTGTTTGGATTAAAATGGCCATGCTATTTTCCAATGTATTATTCCTTGCTGGGAGTTATGAAACACGCAGGCCAATGTATCTGAGGGAATGACAGAGATCCAACACATGATCTAAACTTAGTTTATCATTCATTGACAGGAACATTCCTCCTCTGAATAATTTTTTTTCCTATTATTTTCAACTACTGTTTTCACTGAATCTCCAGCCCTGCTTCAATAAATGGGTTCTGCTGTTTACTTTTCTATAGAGAAGAATCTGCAGATGTGGGAGCCAAATTGAGCTAGTCAAACAGAACTGGCAATTTGTTTTTGCCATTTCACAATCTCAATTTGTGATATGATTTGTGTGTTACCAGACAACTTTTTTGTTGCCTTTTTCTTTCTTTTTCAGAATCTGGAAAAACATCATTTTTTTTTAACAAGAACACCAGGAGCATCCATAGGGTTGTGAGTGGTGGGCTAAAATAAAAAAATGGATGGCAGCTCTGGTTAAACATGCTGATAGTCATGACATTGTCTTGCTTCCTCTCCCTGCCACCACAGATTAGTTCTTGGAAGTACACCAGGCCATATGCTTGTTTTGCATTGGCATACTACATTTAAATATTTGTCTTTAGAACAAAATACTTATTAAATTCAGCTTCTCCAAATCCTTGGAAGCCACCCTTGGTAAGGTGCAAACTTAAATTTGTCTGTCTGTCTGCCTATCATTATCTATCTATCTATCTATCTATCTATCTATCTATCTATCTATCTATCTATCTATCTATCTATCTATCTATCTATCTATCTATCTATCTTCCTTCTCTCTCTCTACCTACCGACCTACCTACCTATCATCTATCTATATCATCTACTGTCTCACACATACATGAAAAGCATTCTTCTCTCCCCTTGGCTTTTGTCTAAGTAACTCCAGAAGATAGAGCATAGACAATATGCCATTTTTTTTGAAGTGTGTGGAAATCTTCACACATAGGAATTCAAAAGGAAATTGAATATATCCTAGGAACCAAGTTTTTGATAATCAGATTATTTCCTTATGATTTTCTAATTGTCAGTCTTTAAAAACTCTATCATAGGCAATTAAAGAGTTCCAAGATAACAGAGGTTTCCAAAAGTGCTTCCAATGGCTCCCACTGTTACCAATCAAATCATATTATGGAGTTTGCTTTCTTTTTCTCCTCTTTCCCACTTCCATTTTCCCATCTCTCTTTTGTCTTCTAAACGGATACTTCATGTCTGAGGGAAGAAAGTACTCACATCAGGGTAAGCCACTTTTATCAACAGAAAGTTTAATCTAAAACAGTTCAGAACTGGGAAATTATTTTTTTTTTAATTTCTATGCAATGCAAAAAAACATGTAGGTTTTAGAAGAAACTCTTCTCAAGTAAGTCACAAACTGATTTTCATAAGAGAAACTGATGAATTCAAGACTCCATTACAT